TAAATTTTTTAATTAAGATCCAATAATATAGACAAAACATTCAGTTTATAAAGGGAAAAATACTCTTATTAATAATCAAACTGAACAATTTTCTGATATCTTCATCCCTACAAACATTCAAGCTAACAATACAGATGATATAATATTTGCTCCGTTGCCACCTTCAACCCCTACACCACTTTCATCTATAAATGAACTTGAAGATGGTTCTTCACTATTAACATTTTCTTCTTGGAATTCATTGAATTTTGCTATGACTTCATCATAAGATTTGTAAGACTTGAAGATGCTTCCTTTAAAACCTATAACCATAGGAGCACACTCACACCAAAAGTTGTATAATCCAGGCCTTTTACCACGAAATACCACATCGACCTTCGATGCCGAAATACCATATTGAATGCTGCTATGGCTTCATCATACGATTTGAAGGCCTTGAAGATGCTACCCTTGACACCAGTAACCATAGGAGCACATTGATGCCAAGAGTTATATAATCCAGGCCTCTTGCCATGAAATACAACATAGACTTTTGAAGCTTTGTTCCTATTCCCCCATTCCTTATTCTAACCCTAAGAAAGATAAGAGATGAAGAAGGAAAAAACAAAGATAGAAAAATAAGGGCTGGAAAAGCTTCTTAGGTGAAGCACTATATATTAAGTGTTTAGGGTTAGAAAGTGACCAATGCAAGATAAATACCGGTAGTTTAATTTTTATACGTATTTCCTCTAATATATTATGTGTATATTATAGTGTATTTCGTTTAATTGGTATAATATATGTATATTTAGTGTATTTCGTTTAATTAGTATAGTATATGTGTTTGTGCTTTATGGAAAATGATATAGCATGCATCTTGGGAAGGTAAGACAATTAAATTAGTGAGAGAGAATTGTTTGAAAAAAATTAAATTTAAAAAGAAAATATGCCAAAGGGTATATATGAAAACGAAAATGCACAACTATTCATTATGCCCTCAAAAGCCATGCGAAATTACCATTATACCCCCATTTTGGACATTTGGGTCATTCTTAGTGTGGCCAAATATATTTTTCGTTATATAAATTTCTATACATATTGTAGTTTTAGTTGAGGTTTGGTAACTTCTTACTCCCTCCGTTCACTTTTACGTGGCACATTTTGATTTTTCACGCCCTTAAGAAATAATAAATGAAGTGCATAATTTACCATGATCCCCATATTAATTGTTGCATATTTTATTGGATTTGAGAAAATGGTTTGAAATGAGTAATAAATGCTCTGAGTATAACAAAAAAAAATTGTCATTCTCTTGATATGCGTAAAGTGACAAGTAAAAATGAAAATCTATTTTTAGTATACATTCCAAGTAAAAGTGAACGGAGAAAGTATTAATTAAGTAATACCAAACCAAATTAAAAATTACAAACTTTGTACTTAAATACCAAGTTATATCAAATCAAGCCGCATAATGATGTTTTAGAAATTAATTTAATTTATCAGTTTGATTTGTTATTCAGTTAATGTTGAATACCCAACTTATAATAGCCCGTTTGGACATAAGAATATTTTTACTTTTTTCGATTTTTTTTCGAAATCAATGCTTGGTCATAAAAATGTCAATTTTCACTTGAAGATGAATTTTGAAAAACTTAAAAAAGTTATTTTTCAAAAATTTTCACTCAACTTCAAAAGTAACTCAAAATTATATTCATGTCCAAACAGAACTCTAATTTTCAAATATCATTTTCATTTGAAATTTTTTTATACTTTTTTTTTTTGAAATTTTACAATTCTTATGTCCAAACGTCCACTAAGAATTTTTATTTATGAAAAAAAAACTTATATGTTCATTTATTTCTTCGTATTAATTTATTCATTCATTCGTTCAATCTTCACCCACCTATCTCCTCGATTCCCGAGCCCTCCCAAATTTGAATTCAAACAAAAAATTTCCACCAATAACTGAGTGCCACGTCCCCGGTCTGGCGTTGGGGGTGTTAACCCAAAGTCCATTTCAAAACCTCACAAAAACCCTAGCAAATCCACCACTTTTTGAAAATTGTACTACTTGAATGGTTTGGCATTTTCTCTGAGCCGTAGGAAACAAAACCCTAGAAAAACTCTTCACCTCTCAATCAATCTTCTTATCTCATCTTCAAATCTTTTTCCCAATTTTCCAAAAACCAAAACCCACCACAAAAACTCTTTAGTACACTCACAATGGCCAAAAAGAAGGCAGCCCCCCAAACTGAAGAGGGAAAGGAAAAGCAGCAGCAGGTGAAAGAACGCAATCACTCTGCAGCCATGGAAGAAGCTTCTGAGAAACTTGAAAGCCTAAAGAGCCTCAATAACATGCTTCTCAAGGAGACCATTGAGAAACGGCAACAGGTGGACTCACTCGTGCAAGCAAAAAGCTCTCTGGAATCGGAACTCAAAAGGTCTAACTCGGAGAAGGACGAGCTGAAGGCCCAGTTGACTCGGCTGAACGAAGATGTTGTTCAGTTGGAGATTGAGAAGAAGCTGGTGTCCGTATTTGTCTCTGTGCAGGTTGCTTACCATGCTGAGGTGGCTGAGAAGGAGAGGGACGGGTTTCGCATACAGAATGATGCGGTTGAGAAGAAACTTGAGAGTTTAGAGAGAGAAATGAGTGATCTTATGAAGGAGAAGGATGAGATTGAGAAGGCGAGGATTGAAAAAGAGAGAGAGATTGAAAGCCTTAAGGAGAAACTGAATGCTATTGCATATGAGGTTGCCCGTGAGAGGAATGTTTCGGAGGATATTCGTAAGGAGAAGGATGAAATGAAAACGAGACTTGATGCTCAAATAGAGGAATCAAATGGGTTGAGCGTGAAGTTGGTTGAAACTGAGAAGAAAGAGAAAGAGATTGAACTAGAAGCTGGGAAATTAAGGGTTGGATACAATGCCCTTTTGGAGGAAATCAAGGACAGAGAAAGCAAGATTCAGTCCATGGTGACAGAGAAGGAATTAGTCGAGAAAAGGTTGTTGGATTCGAATAAGGAGATTGAAGAACTGAGGGTACAGATTGATGGGATTGTTGGGGAAAAAGAAGGGATTGAAGGGGAGAGAAATGCAGAAGCGAAGAAGAGCAGTGAGTTGCAGAACACAGTCACTGGTCTCAATGAGACGGTGCTGAGTTTGCAGAAGGAGGCGGCAAAATTGCGTGAAAATTTGGTTGAGTTAGAGAACAAGTGTGTGGAAGGATCCAGGAAGGAAGATGAGATGGAGAAGAAGATTAATGAACTTGTGAAGGGAAACAATGAGAAAGAGAGCAGAGTTGAGAGTTTGATTGAAGAAAAGGGCTTTGTTGAGAAGGAATTGGACAAGGCATTGAAGCAGTTAGATGAAGAGAAGAAGAAGATTGAGCAAACTCTCACAGAGAAGAATGAGATGGAAGAGGCTAAAGTTGGGAGGGAGGCTGAAATTGTTGAATTGCAGAAACAATTAGTTGAATTCAAGGATGTTATTTCTGAATTAGAGGTGTCTTGCAATGGTCAGGAAGAGAAAGTGAAGAGTTTGGAATCTGAAGTTGGGAAGTATAAGGCTGCATTGGAGCGAGTTGCGCTTGAGAAGGATGAGATACAAAAGTGTTTTGATGACGAGAAACAGAATGTCATGAACATGAAGAAACAGATTGAAGAAATGGAGAAACACATTCAAGAAATTGTTCAGGAGGTTGAACGAACCAAGGCTGATCACCTCAATGTGGTTGGAGAAAAGAAAGAGATGGAAACTCGATGCCAAGCGTTGAACAAGGAAATTGCATATGTGCAAACTTCACTTGGCGAAGCACAGAAGGAAATCAGTGCTATGCAGTGCAAGGTTGTATTGGCAAACAGTTGTTCCGAGGAAATCTTGAATGCTTTGAGGACTGTTGCAGGTTCAATCTGCTCGAATGATCAAGGAGCAAATGGCAATGTACTTCGTGAAAAACAAATGAATGAGGAAGATGTCAAGCCTTATGAAGCAGAGTTGGAGGCCATCACGAATGCAATCAAGAGTAAAGAGAACAAAGTAGATGAGATGAAGAGACAGGTTGAGTTCCTTCAGCTTTCGGTAGTACAAGCACAAAAGAAGAAGAATTTTTGGACCATGTTATCTTCTGCAACAACACTTTTTGCTGCAATTTCTCTTGCATATGTTGCTCGTGGCCATTGAATGAGGGAGTCATTTAGTTTTATCCAAACTGTTAACCGCAAGTTCCAAGAAAGGATTTCAGTTTTGGTCCCATAGTTTAACCTGTTAAGGAACATGGGCAGGTTTTTGTAATGCTGGTATCATGGCCTGACATGATATTTGACTGCTGTTAGCTTGTTTCAACATCATACTTAACAATCTATGTCCGCTTACTTTCATGCTTCCGTATGAAATAATATGAGATCCTTTACTTTCCTATCTCCGTATTCAGATTGCCATTCAATTTTTTTGGATTTATCTTTGCTTAGTACGAATCATGAATCAATATGCTGTTTGTCTTTTTTCTTTTTATGTGTATTTTCTTTACGATGTTATTTAAAGGAAGAAACTCCAATCAGAAGAGATTGTGTAAAAGGTTGTGAGCTTTAGAAAACTCACGATATGATTGTTTTGTTAGAAACTTCATTGTGACAAACTGAATAATAAAAGCTTAAAAAGCATTGATATTATTTGTCAGATACAAAAAGAAAATCGATGAAACATCATGAATGTATACCTCTGTTTGGTTTCAGGATTTCAATATTTTGTTTCCTAGCTGTTTTGGTATCAATATTTCAATACCTCTGAATTTTTCGTTTCCATTTGCTTATTGATCTGAAGGACTCTAATGCTACTCAGGTTTCAAACCCTTGTTTAATAACAATATTCTTTTTACCGAAAGGAGGAGGAGTGCATCTATAAGTTCATGTGGCAAAAGCATGGTGGAAGTCACAATTCTAGTGCTTTCACTATGGACATGGATGAACATGACTTCCTTTGTTGGATGAATTGCAGCAGCTAACAAGAGAAGGTCAATACTGGTTTATATGCAAGAACTATATTCAGTAAATTTGTTAGATCACCATCTCCAATAAAAGATCATTCAATTTTCTACTTGCTTATTTTTTTTTCTGGTTCATTCTGAATTCTTAGGTGTGCAATGATGGAAAATTGAGCCTGGTCTATATGAACAAAAAATCTCAGGTCTGTCAACAGGATTTCAAGATTTTCATCCTGAGATACAATTTCTTTCTCTAGTTCAATTGCTTATGCAAAGAGATGAAAGTTAACTTTTGTGGATCACTTGATAGGTTGTGACCAAGTTGAAGAGTAAACGTGCTGGTGGAGCTTTTTCTAAGAACAATAAACGTAAGCTCTCTCCTTACAGTATTATGGTAGTTCACAACCGGAGTTGTTTGTAAACTATGTGACGGAAGTGAGGCATGACTCTTCAATAAAGAGTTGAAACCTAGATTTGTACCTTGGGATAAAGACTTCTCAGGATATTCTGGAGTTCAAGTGCAAATACAAAAGCGATAAACAAAAAAGGGTGGAGATAGAATTCAGGAACTTGTTGATTGAGCCAAGTGAGGGCTCACTGAGAGTGTTGGACATAATAAGAACTTTTATTAGACTGACTTATTAAGTTTTGTTTTTTCATTTTTATGTTATTAGGTGTATAAAAATGTTTATGAGTTATGACTGTACTTGGTTTTTTCTGTTGATCATTTTTGAGTTATGATGTAAGCTACACTTGAAATGAGAAACTAAGCTCTTCAGGGAGAATGATGGAGTTTTATTTGTAAGGCCATGGGATGGAGGAATTTTAGCTCTTTGATTTATAAAGGGATGGCATCTCATGTAGTCAGTCCACGCAATAGAATACATTGATTTCCATGTTGGGAAATAGTTTTCCATATTTACTTACTCCAACTTCTTTAGACAAATTGGGACAGTATAAAGGTACAACTACTATTCGCAAGATTAAATATAAGCCATAATTGGTTGACAATTTGTCTTAATTAACCCGTCTATTCTAACTGTTAATTTTTTCTTTTTCCATAAAGCTATTTATTTCTTCCAAATTTATTTAGTTTCCTACTCTCCATTGTAACCTCATCTTTATAAACTCCCGTTTGACTATAGATTTTGGCTTTATTCTTTCAAAAAAATCTAAAAACATTTTTTGTTTATGTATTTCGCCAACTCAATGTAATGTTTTGACACCTCTCATTATACCAAAAAGGGGGAAGAGAGACGAGAAATTGGGCTGGTAGTGATGCAACAGAAGAACGAAATCTTAAAAAGAAAAGAGAACTCAGCATTGAAATCCATCAAATGCCCATTATATGTTATAAGCTACCAACGAAGGACCAAAACAGAATGGTTTACTATGAAATATACTTCACAAATTGTAAGTATTATATTGGCTCAAGTTTCAGTTTCTGTGACTCAACCAAGTTAAATGAATTATATGCTAAGATCCAACAATAACCTTTAAAGCCAAATAACAAGAATATGAAGATAAAATAAGTGACAACCAAATGTATACATTGATAATCTCAAATAGATGACTTCATTGCATTCAAAATTGATAGACTGGATTTTAAGTCAAGACAAGAGTATATCTGACCTTCAAGATTGATTTTGAAATTTGATAGTTTGACAACTTTGAAGCGTAAAACAAAAGGGAAGGGTCACGGACGAGAACTCGAATCGGCACCGGAAAGCTCGAAACCAAAACGACCTCAATCAAACTCCATCGAATTTCAAATTGAAAATCAGAAGCATAAACTCTATACAAAGAAAGTGTAGCCCCTCACATCAATCAAACAAATGAAGCTCTGCCATATAACACATTCCTTTACAGCACCTAACTTAGCTCAACACTGACACTTGCGACAGAATTTTGGTGCACGACATCTTAAGAAACCAATTCTTTATTTGCATACACGTTCCAACCTGAGTAAATAGTCTGACATCTTTCAACGTTCTTCTCTTAAGAACTAACCAGCAAGCCTTAAATAAAGAGATCTAATGCTCCTACCCAAAAGATGGAAAGTTAGGTATGAATATCATTCCATTAGAACTAAGGCACGAAGTGAAGATGGCTGCAAGGGGTCACTGATTTTTGGTGGGCTTCGTCAGTTGGTGTATATTGGAGAAGGGGATCACGGCTGAAGCTTTTTTGGATTTTTGTTAGGGATCAAGGGTGCGGCTAACCTCTTCTCAGCTTTAGGAATTTTGGGAGTCGAAGATGGGAACAACAGGTTTCAACTCTTAGGCCCTTAGGTCTAGGGTCTTGTTTGTTTTATAGGATTTTTTAGATTAGGGGGTATGGATCTAGGAATTATGGGCTTGGGAAATATGGGCTAGGTCCGAAAATTAGGCCTAAACATGGGTCGTTTGAGCCCAAATTTATTCTTTCCCCGCGAACGAGACTAAAAATACAATCTTATTTATTAATTAATCCTATTTAAGTAAAATAACTATTAAAATAAGACTGACCGCTAAAATAAACTATTTTTGGTATTTTTTTCAAGATTAAAATGACTACAAAACATTAATGAAACTATTTTTTTGTAATTTTTATTTTCTTTTACTAAAATAAAGTAAAAGAGTCAAAATTAGTTGAAATAGCGATATTAGGCCTAAATTAAATATTTACATGCTAAAATATAAAAAATCTTAAGGGGGTGGGGAGTCAAAAATCACATGTCTACAGCTGCCCCTCTTTGACTGGTAATACGAAGTATTTTCAGATAAAGAACGACTAGACAGGTTTTTTTTGACCCGACCCTTATTTAGAGAGGTCAAAAGCTAAAAGAAAGGAAAATGTGACCGAGCCTTGGTATCTAAGCTGCCTACATATCCTCGGCTATAAAGGAATCAGGCCACGTGTAGTTCAGAATTAGGAAGAGTGATGGAGTATACCGAGGTGGAGAGGCGATTGAGGTGTTGTTTCGTCGAGGTTTCGGTCCGCGATCCCGTTATTACATCAAAAATCAAGATTGAAAAAACTAACTAAGCCTATCAGCTGCGAGTTGCAAGATTCCTATCTATGGGTCTTCTGAAGCTTGATCTTGAGTCTTGAATGGTTCTTCATGCAGACTTTAGATTTGAACCTTGGCGCTTGTTAGCTGCAGGTGCTAGCTCGTTCTTCTTTAGCTTTCCGGATCAACACCGAGCATGTAGTGCTTGTGACTTCAACCACGTCTTGAGCAGTTCACATCTTTCTCTGCCTCTGCATTTTGGATTCACTTCCCTTTTCTTTTTTCTTTCTTTTATTTATTCTGGATTGAGATTACTTCTATTGATCATCTCAGATTGTTGACTTGCATTCTTGTCGCGAGCTTCTGCTACTTCTAACTTGAATGGAATTCTGAAATGACTTCCCTTGTTCTCCAGGTGGGTGCCCGATTGCTGAACTCGACCCGATTTCCTTTGAAACTGCTTTTCCTTGAAACTTGAACTGTCTTCCCTTGTTCTCCAGGTGGGTGCCCGATTGCTGAACTCGACCCGATTTCCTTTGAAACTGCTTTTCCTTGAAACTTGAACTGTCTTCCCTTGTTCTCCAGGTGGGCGCCTGATTGCTGAAATTTAAACTGTTTTTCCCTAAAACTTGAGCTGCTTTTCCTTGTTCTCCAGGTGGGCGCCTGACTGCTGAAACTCGAACTGCTTTTCCCTGAGACTTGAGCTGCTTTCCCATGTTCTCTAGGTGGGCGCCATACTACTGAACTTGAATTGCTTTTCTTTGAAACTCGAACTGTTCCCTCTTGAGACTTGAGCTGCTTTCCCTTGAACTTGAACCATTTTCCAAGTGGGCGCCTGATTACAACACGACAAACCAAAAGAAATTTTTCTGCCCCAGTTTGATATTGGGAACATCTGTGAGCGTTAATTGAATCGTGTTATCCAAAAGAATTCTATGAATTTAAAAGCTAAAAATCCCATTATCCAGGAGGGTCCTAAAAACTAAAATTAAATCTCAACCTAAGAGTGAAAATTTGAAAGCTAAATTATATTTCCTAAAGGTAAAACTTACACTAAATCTCATTTTCTATGAGGGTCCTAAAAACTTAAACTACATCCCATTATCAAGGAGGGTCCTAAAAAACTTTAAAATTAAATCTCATTATCCGGAAGGGTCCTGATTTTAAGACAACTACAGATTGATAACTTAAGAAAACTAAAATTGACCCATTATTCTTGTTTTTTTGGTCAATCTAGACTTCCCCCTTTTTTTATTTTATTATTATCCTAGGAGAAAATTCGTCGGACTAGGTTTTCTATCTTAGGAGAAAAATTAACCAGACTAAAAATTTGATCCTAGAAGAAAGTTCATCATACTAGGTCACTTTTTTGGTATCTTGGGAGAGAGATTCATCAGACTAAGACGTTTATCTTAGGAGAAAGTTTCATCAGACTAGGTCTTCTATCTTAGGAGAAAGATTCATCAGACTAAGATTTCTATCCTAGGAGAAAATTTGTCAGACTAGGTCTTCTATCTTAGGAGAAAGATTCATCAGACTAAGATTTATGATCCTAGGAGAAAAGTTCATCAATAGGTCTTTTTGTTATCTTAGGAGAAAGATTCATCAGACTAAGATTTATGATCCTAGGAGAAAAGTTCATCAATAGGTCTTTTTGTTATCTTAGGAGAAAGATTCATCAGACTAAGATTTCTATCCTAGGAGAAAATTTGTCAGACTAGGTCTTCTATCTTAGGAGAAAGATTCATCAGACTAAGTTTTTTATCCTAGGAGAAAATTCATCAGACTAGGTCCTTTTTTTGTATCTTAGGAGAAAGATTCATCCGACTAAGACGTTTATCCTAGGAGAAAATTCATTAGACTAGGTTTTCTATCTTAGGAGAAAAATTCATCGGACTAAGATTTTGATCCTAGGAGAAAGTTCATCAGACTAGGTCCTCTTTTTGTTATCTTAGGAGAAAGATTCGTGAGACTAAGATTTTGATGCTAGGAGAAAATTCATCAGTCTAGGTTTTCTTATCTTAGGAGAAAGATTCGTCAGACTAAGATTTTGATCCTAGGAGAAAATTCATCAGTCTAGGTTTTCTTATCTTAGGAGAAAGATTCGTCAGACTAAGATTTTGATCTTAGGAGAAAGTTCATCAGACTAGGTTTCTTTTTTTGTATCTTAGGAGAAAGATTCATCAGACTAAGATTTTGATCCTAGGAGAAAATTCATCAAACTAGGTTTCCTATCTTAGGAGAAAGATTCATCATACTAAGATTTTGATCCTAGGAGAAAATTCATCAAACTAAGATTTCTATCCTAGGAGAAAGTTCATCAGACTAGGTCCTCTTTTTGTTATCTTAGGAGAAAGATTCATCAGACTAAGATTTCTATATTAGGAGAAAATTCATCAGACTAGGTTTTCTATCTTAGGAGAAAGATTCACCAGACTAAGATTTTGATCCTAGGAGAAAGTTCATTAGACTAGGTCTTCTATCTTAGGAGAAAAATTCATCAGACTAAGATTTTGATTGGGAGAAAAATCCATCAGACTAGGACTTTTTATCCTAGGAGGAAAAAATGTAAGGATCAATGGCAAGATTTTATGCAGAATAGCAAGACAAATAAAGGCAAAGATTTGAGAAACTTCCCCTTGTCGGCTCTTCTCTTCTTTTCTTTCTTCTTTTTTTTTTCTTTTTTTTGGGACCACTCTCCTTGCACTGCTTTGTTCCTGTTTCACACAAAG